GGGGCCTGGGGGGACTGTTTTGGGCGGGGGTCCCTATCTTCTGCCCCCTCCAGCTGCCTCCTTGGTGCCCGCAGGGGACCCCTGTGAGGTTGCGCCCATCGCGTCGTGGCCGGAGGAGGAAAGCCAGGTGAGCCTGGTGGTGGGGAGTTCTTGGGGGGTCAACTCTGACCTCTTCTGGTCCTACTCTCACCCCTCCAACCCTATCTCCTTGCAGCGCCCCCCGGCCCAGCCCCCGTGTGGACACGTCGCGTGCCCGGGGCCCCAGCACCGAGCCAGGCACAGTGCCGCCGGTAAGTGTCATGGGCTGCCCCCGCTTAGCTTGATGGGAGTGGGGGACAGCAGTGCTTGGCACCTTGCCCAGGCCTAGACTTGCTGCCCTGCCCCCCAGGTGGACAGCTCTCTGGCACGGCGCCCGCGGCCTGGCCGCCCTGTCAAGAACCGCCGGAGGAAGCTGCTGACGTAGCACTGGCCCCGGCCCCCCCTGCAGAAGCACAGCCGTGGGGCCGGAGGGGTCCTGGACTGCTTGCCCTGTCCCCCCATCTCTATCCCCTGCCCGGGAAGGGGGGCACCGGCCTTGGACATCGCAGACCGCCGGGGTCCCGGCTTGGCCCCCACTGCGAGAGGCAGCCCACAGGGGCACCACCACCCACCCCCCCTGCAGCACTGCCGGCGGGGGGGGGCAGCGCAGGGATAAAGCACTTCGGAAGCCATTTTGCAATAGGCCGCAGGCTGGTGGGGGGCTGGTACTGGCTCGGTGGTGTGATAGGGGCCCCCCCTTACCTCAGGCCTGCGGGTGTCTTGCCCCAGGGCACAAAACGCCTCAGGGTTTAGTTTAGCACAAGATTCACTCACCAAAAATCCCCCCCCGGCACCCTTCCTGGGGTGGTGGTGCAGCCCCCAGCCCGGTGGTGCCAGGGGGAGGAAGGTACAAAGCAATAATCATCTCCAGCCACCCCTGCCCCGCTGGGGGGCTCCCGGGGCAGGGCCCGGCCCACTCGGAGAACACTCAGGTTGTCTCACACCGGCGGGGCCGACGCAGCCCCACGACACTACGTCCCTGTCCCCGTCCCCCCCCACACCGACTCGGCCTTGTTTTGTACACGGAAGAAAAGACTTTTTAAAAGAAATAAAAACCCTTCCCGGGGCCGGGGGTAGCCGGGGCTGGGGGTAGCCGCGGCCAGGCCTGGCACGGCTTTAATTTAACAGATGGACTTATTTTGGCGTCGCTGAGGTCCCAGCCCCGGCCCCTCCCTGGGGGTCATCGGGGTTTTGCGTTTTTGTACCAAGTATTAAAATATGTATTTAAAAGCCTCTGATGTGTGCCCACACATGTATGTGCTGGCAGGTGTGTATGTGTGTGCCCCTGTATACATGCACAGTGGGGTGGGGGGAGTGGTCTTACACATGTATACATGTGCCCAGATACATGCATGCATGCACATGGTGTGCCTGTGTGTAAGTGCACATGGATATAGAGGGATCCAGGCTCCTGCTGCCTCTTTGCCCTGGCCTACTTATCTCTCATCTCCTGGCCCTGGGGCAGGTCCTGTCCCATCCCCCACCCCCCATTAACTATCCTGTGTGTTCCTCAGCTGCTGTCCTCAGTCCCCCCCACAACAAAGAAGGTGCAGGGCTGGTGAGCACAGTTGTTTTAATGGCTGTCAACATACATGGGGTGAAGGGGTCTGTTCCCTCCCAGGAAAAGAGGGGCTGGGGCAGTGTCCCATGCAGCAGGGGTGGCTATGGGGCAGGGGGGGGGTCACTTGGCAAGCTGATGGATGCGGGCATCAATGCCAGCAAAGTTGTCCTCCACAGCCACCAGGTTCTCCTTCATGGTCTTCTGCACCTGGGGGTGAGAAGGGGGTCAGGGAGGACCCTGGGGGGAGGAAGGAGGGGGGGCGGTACAAGGTTCAGCGCTCACCTGGGCCAGCAGAGCACTGTTGTCCTTGAGGGAGCCAGTGATGAGCTGCTGGGTAGTGTCCAAGTGTGCCAGCAGCTGCCCAAACTGCATGGCTGCAAGGCATGGAGGCACCCATCAGCTGCAGGTAGAGCCCCTTTCCCCCTCCACCCCTCTCAGCTGGGAGGTGGATCCCTGCCCACCCAGGGCATACCTTGCTCATGCAGGTCCTTGAGGGCACACAGGCGCTGTACCACCTGGGGCAGGGTACTGGCTAGTGGCCCCCAGCGCTGCACCACTTCATGTAGCTGGTGCACCTGGTGGGGGGGGACGGGAGTAAGTAGGGGGAAGCTCTTAGTGCCCTCCTGCCTTTCCCCAGGTTCATGGGGGA